AAGCAATGAATTCGAGAAATTCTTAAGCAAATGGATGGAACTAGAAAATATCATCCTGAGTGAGGTAACACAATCACAAAAGAACACACATGGTATTCACTCACTGATTAGTAGATATTAGCCCAAAAGCTTGAAATACCTAAGACACAACTCACAGACCACATGAAGCTCAAGAAGGAAAACCAAAGTGTGGGTGCTTCAGTCCTTCATAGAAGGAGTAACAAAATTTTCATGGGAGCAAGTATGACAACATTGTGTGGGAACAGAAACTGGAGGAGTGGCCTTCTGTTGACTGCCCTACCTGAAGATCCATTCCATGTGCAGTCACAAAGCACAGGCACTGTTGTGGATGCCACAAAGTGCATGCTGACTGGAACCTGACATACTTATTTCTTTGGGAGGCTCTGCCAGAGGCAGAACCTCACAGCTAACCACTTAACTGATCTTGGGATACCCAATGGAAGAGGTAGAGAGAAAACAGAAGGAGCTGAAGGGTCTTGTGGCACAATGGGAAGATTGACAATACCAACCGACCAGAGTTCCCAAGGTCTAAACTGCCAGCCTGGGAACATGCTTGGAGGGATCCATGGCTCCAGCTTTATATGTAGTAGAGCATGTCCTTGTCAGGCATTGGTTTGAGAGGAGTTCCTTTGACTGGTGAAGGCTGAAAGCCCCAGTGTGGGGGAATTTGAGGGTGGAGAGGGTGGAGTGGGTGGATGGGTGGGGGCATACCCTCATAGAAGTAACAGGAGGGGAATAGGACAAGAAGTTTCTGGGAGGGAATAGGGCAAGTGGATGACATCTGAAATGTAAATAAGTAAAATATTCAATTAAAAAAATTTGGATGCCCAGGATTATTCAGCTGAGCGCCTATGACACCCTACAACTAGGCATACCTGTGCTTAGTTGAAAAGGAAGGATCCACTTACTGACATATGGCATGATCCTGATCAGGTATCTAATATGGGGAAGAGGACATGTTTGTGTTTTATTGTACAGGATGCTGAAGGAGCATGGTGAGTGCCAGAGTGATTAGCATGACATGCTGATGCTGAGGCAAAGAATGATGTTGACCTGTGAGCTTGCTGAGCCCCCTGACAATGGTGACTGGGAAACTGTATTGGACACATGTTTCTGACCCACATTTACTTTCCTATATCCCAGATGGGCCAAGCTGCCTTATTTCAAGTTTTTAGACCTTGTGGGACAGGGAATTAAAAAGAGAAGCTGTAATGACTCTTGTAGTTTTCTTAAATGTGACCAGTTATTCCGACTCAATCATGTACTGATCTAGAAATCAATCCAATACTGGAAATAACAGTTTTCATTTGGAAGTCTGGATCTGGACATTTTCAGAAACATATTTGGAAGTTAGCACAGTTCTCTAAGATGTTATGATAGCAAGAGGTAAAGTTGAGACAGATCTGGATTTCAAACAAGTGTTAGTGCATGTGTTAAACCTCTTATAATTGTCAAGCTAAAATTGGTTTAGTCTCTTCAACAGTATTTATTGTAAGTTGCATTGATTGTACACTTTATAATTGTGTTAGTGTGTTCAAACTCGCCATATCTGTTATGGGGGTCTGCCAACCAGCTTTTGTTTATTGCCCTGAGTATCACAGAACCTTTGTTTTCTGAAAAAAAGCTTGGAAGTGCTGGAAGAAGTGAGTCAGGCTTTAAGCAGGATCAAGAGGGTAGTGGGCTTGATTATTGTTGGTATAAAAGCTTTAATTACATTAATTGCTAGCACCAGCACCTCTGCAATTGCTGTTACATAAGATGTTAAGACAGCTGTGTTTGCTAATCATTTAGCAAAAAAAATATTGTCAATGTGTTGAGTATACAAGAAGATTTACATAGGTGTTTGCAACATTGGATTGTTGCTCTTTATACTATTCAAATTACTGGAAGGAGGTTCAGAGTTTAAGAGTAAGGAGTCATCTCAAGTGTCCTGCCAAATACCAATGGAGTTGTGTTACTGATAAAACTTACAATGATAGTCATTATAATTAGGCAAAACTGTAAAGACACTTGCAGGGTATTTGGTATAGTTCTAACACCTCTCTGGATGTTGTAACTTTGCATAGTGAGATTTGGATTTTAAAGAATGCTGATCTGCTGGGCTTTGATGCTGCAGATACTGCTGATAAAATTACCCATGGCTTGAGGTCAGTATTTCCATTGTGGTCAAGCTTCAAGAATGGCATATATAGCTTGATCATGCTAGCCCTTTATGTCCTGTGAATACTTTTATTCCTGCCGATAGTTTTAAAGCTTGTCTTTAACAACATCAACATGTTGGCAGCCAAAGTACATGACTGGAATCTGAAAATGGAGCCCCAGACAGAGTTATTAATTTAACAGGCTGGCAAGCCAATGATGTGTAAGATTCTGCACAAAGTCTTACCAACCTAAGATATAAGTAAATTGCTTTTGATAATGCATATTCCATGATGGGTAAGGAAGGTATTCTTGGCAGATCGACCTAAGACAGGCTCAGTCTTGTTTATGGGGAAAAAAAGGAGGAGATGTGGAGAGCTATGAGGGCTGCATGGTGGGTATCTGACATTGACCAAGGACAAGGAAATGGGCTGCTTGGCAGGAATATGACATTAGAGTAGAACAAAGAAGTAATTTCAGGCATGAATCTAAATCTTAGGCTACAACAAGGTACTAGGCTTCAGATATGAAAATGATTTTGGGCTAGGACAGGGAAGTAGGCTCAGATATTTTTGTTATTCTGATATGTCATTAGAAACAGTGATCACAGAAATTTGTTTATTGCATTGCTTGTTCCTTGACTTTTTGTGTTTATTATCTTGCTTGCTCCTTGACTATTTGCATCTATTATATTGTTAGTTCCACAATCTGGAACTGACCTTAATACTTACATGTAATTCAAATGGTATAAAAGCAAATAAATAATAATAATAAAAAGAAAATACAACCACTCTGGAAATCAGTCTGGTGGTTCCTCAGAAAATTGGACATAGTACTACCTGAGGATCCAGCTATATCACTTATGGGCATATACCTAGAAGATGCTCCAAAATGCAATAAGGACATATGCTCCATTATGTTCATAGGAGCCATATTTATAATAGCCAGACACTGGAAAGAACACAGATGTCCTTCAACAGAGAAATGGATACAGAAAATATGGTACATTTAAACAATGACATAGTACTCAGCTATTAAAAACAATGAATTAATGAAATTCTTAGGCTAATGGATGAATCTAGAAAATATCATCCTGAGTGAGGTAACTCAATCGCAAAGGAACACACATGATATGTACTCACCGATAAGTGAATACTAGGCAAAGAGTTTGAAATACCCACACTAAAACTCACAGAAAACATGAAGCTCAAGAGGATGGAAGACCAAAGAGTGAATTCTTCAGTCCTACTTAGAGGGGAAAACAAAATAATTAAAAGAAGTAGAAGGTGGGAAGAACTTTGGAGGAAGAGAAGAGGCGGAAGGGAAAAAGGAGAAGAATAAGGTATTGGAGGATATGGAGGAGATGTACAGAGCGTCAAGAAATTGAACAGACGTGTGTAGCAATGGGGTATAGGGAACGTGGGATAGCAACCAGAAAGTCCCAGATTCCAGGAAAGCAAGAGCCTTCCAGGTCCCCATGGGGATAACCTTAGCTGAAATATGCCACAAAAGAGAGGGAGAACCTGTCGAGACCATATCCAGAGGCTAGCCATGGCTCCTGGTTGAGGGTTGGGGCCACCCAACCATCTCCAAAATTTTAACTCAGAATTGTTTTTGTTTAATGGAAGTCCAGGGACAAAGAATGCAGCAGAGACTGAAGGAAAGGCCATACAGAGACTGCCTCACCTGGGTATCCATCCCACATATAGACACTAAACCCAGACATGATTGTGGATACCAAGAAGTGTTTGCTAACAGGAGCCTGATACAGCTGTCTCTTGAGAGGCTCTTCCAGATCCTGACCAATACAGATGTGGATGCTCACAGCCAACCATTGGAATGAGCACAGGGATCACAGCAGAGTAGTTAGGGGAAGCATTAAAGGAGCAAAAAGGGTCTTCCATCAATGAGAGGGGAGGCACATGGTCCTGTGAAGGCCTGCTGCCCCTATGTAGAGGGATACTAGAGCAGTGAGGCAGGAATGGGTAGGTGAGTGAGGGAGCACCCTCATAGAAGCAGGGTAAAAGGTGATGGGATAGAGGGTTTGCAGAGGGGAAACCAGGAAAAGGGGTAACATTTGAAATGTAAATAAATAAAATATCCAATTAAAACATTGTTGAACTCTTTTATTGTGCTTCAACTGAAAATATCACACATTACAGCTTGAAAACAGAAATATTATTTCATGGAAAATGTTATTAAAATATTCAGAATTAAATTTAAATGTTTATTATAAATGCAAGTAATAAATTCAAGTAGTAAATATATCTGCGAATCATTTAAATTTGAGACAGGTTTGATTTCAAAGGCATCTTGTCTAGAGAACCTTAATAGAAACTTCTCATGGATTGGAAAGGCAGAGAGAACTGGAATCACATCAAAGACAAGGGAGGAAAGGGAAAAGATTGACCATGGAATGCTAAGGAAGGCATTGTGAAGAGAAATGCAGAAGTCAGACTCCACCTTCATGCTGACATGGATGTTGATAGATCTCATTGCAAAACCTAAGTATACTCTTCCAATTTTAAAATTAGAGATACAGCAAACTTGATGTTCACAGTGAGGACTCAGCTGTGTGAAGAGATATTTAACAGTCTTCATTTGAGAATATTTATTTGTTTAGTAATCAATTTACATAAGAAAGACTAGTACTTCACATATTCTTTATAACCTGAAGAAATTAATAAGGACTAGGATTATAAAGTGTACCTATTTAAGTCTTAAACATTGAGAAGAGTGTTTTAAAAGAATTTTTGCAAGATACAACATTTATGCAAGCATTATAAATTTCAGTGACTACAGAAATACAGCCCTTCCTTGTACTTCTATTTGCCTTCTAATGAAGGAGAGTTCGTCAACAGTAGGAGCAGTTTTCTACCACATAACACTTACACAAGGAGTCCCATCAAAAGGAGATGGTAAACTCTTAAGTAACACAGCTTCAGAATTGCTACAGTCAGTATTTGTGTGAAGACTCATTTCTCTCAACTTTTACAAAAATTACTGGTTTAATTAACCAATTGAAGAAGAGGTAATAAACTGAACGAGGTTGTAAAACTGGTCCACACAAATAAGAAAAAGACATTTCCCTCAAAACCATTTTTTTTCTGATCAAGCAGGTCTCAGTTGCTGCTCTGAACTGTTTCCAGTTCTTCAGGGTGTTCTGAAGAGCTCTTATTTCCACCTTCTTCCTCCTCAGGGGTGTCTTGCATGGCTCTTTGAAGAAGTAGCTTGAGAGTCTTCCGCCTAAACCTACGGTGTCTAATAGAGCCAACAAGGAAGTAAATGATGGGGTTGACACAGCTGTTAACACAGGATAGGAATAGTGTCTCTTCATAAAAATCACAAATTTGAACATAACGAATATTGCTAACCCATTGATAGAGTAGATAATAGATCCCAAAGGGAAGACCAAAGATCAGGAAGACCAGGACTGTGAGTACAATGGTCACATACAGCCTGGTCACAGGAATCCGCTGGGAGCCACAAAAGATCCTGACAAGCAGGATGAGGCTGGACCCACAGAGAACAACAAATAAAACAATTGACCAAACAGCAGTGATGACAAAAATTCTATCACACCAATAAAAGTCAAAACTATTAAACAGTAAGCCACATGCCTTCCCTTTCAGGAGAACCAACATCAGGGAAATAGCCCAAAGCACAAAACATGTGATAGCTGATGTTTGTCTTGGACGTTTACAGCGATACCAGATGGGCCATATTACAGACAGGCAGCGTTCAATGCTAATGGTGCTGAGAATGCTCAGACCAGAAAGATAAGCAGATGATGACACAACACCAAAAAATAAAGGGATTTCAATGTCAATTGTGTAGAAGAAGTAAATGCCAATATGAAGGCAAATTACAAACTGAGAGCACAGGAAGAGAAAGTCAGCCGCAGCCAGGTTGAGAATGTAGACAGAGAAGGCATTCTTGTGCATCTGGAAGCCCAGGAACCACAGCACTATGGCATTTAGTACCATCCCAACCAGGGAAATGATGAGGCAAAAAGAAACCATGGCCTGGATCTTGATGGCACAAACTGAAGTATCAATGTAGTGGCTTTCATTTAGCCGTATGATGTTAGTTTCCCAGGCTGAGATGCTTAGATTCTTGCTTAGTAAATCTCCACTCATTTTCCTGAAACAACAAAATAATAATACATGAGTACATGCTGTTTACTCTCTGATTTAGGAACAAGCAGCTATGTGATAATTCTTGACCTGGTTCATAAGAAGAAGAAACAGGACTCTAGAAATTAAGTAATTTTTTTATATCAGTATTTCTGGAGCCTTTATTAATTTAGATTTCTGGAACATTAAATGCACTTGGTATTTCTTCAGGCTCTCTGTAAGCTATGACCTTTAATGGTATGAGTGTAGTTGATGGCCTCCATACAGAAACTCAGTGTCTCTGGCTATGTCAGAAGGAACTAGAACTCTAAACCTAAATTTCTTTTTTCCATAAGGATGTTTCTTTTTCTGCTGCAGGAACTCAGAAACCAGAAGTACAACCAATAGCTGCTCTTAGTCTGGGAAGGGGAGAAGCCATCTAATGGGAAAATATAAAAATCATGAATGACAGTCATCAATGGAATGTCAAGTTGTGGTTCAAAACTTGTGCGAGGTGTGGGCGTGGGCGCAGATGCAGTCCTCAGAGCCGCAGCTCAGGCCTCCTGCACGCTACAGCTGCGGTCCCGGCTGATCTCGCCAGCACGTGGGTCAGGGCAGGCACGTGCCCCTTGACTGACTCCCTCCCAGGGACCGCAGTTGCAGAGGAGAGAGAGAGTCCTGCGGATGGCTGAGACAGGGAGAGCGGGGACCCAGCGTGCTGATGGCTGCGGCTGAGTCCTCGTGGCTGCCCACGAAGCCAGGACTGCTGTTGTGGGGAGAGTGCTCCACAGACCGCTGGAGCAGGGACCATTGAAACCGCTGGAACAGGGAAAGTGTCCCACGGATGGCTAAAGCAGGGAGCGCAAGGAGGGCGGGAAGGCTTTCTCCTGCACAAGTTTCCCACTTACACAAAGAGAGTCCAGAGCCTCAAAAGACACATGGAATTGAAGACATGGAAGTTTTATTGGTCATGTTGATAGTTGTATCTGGATGGCGTGCTCTTCCACAAAATGCCAGAAGGGGCTTGCTTATATTGGGGAGCAGGGTGGGGAAGGGAGGGGCTAGGGCCTTTAGGTAATATGTAAATCTTGAGGCAGAGACCTGTTTCGCACCCTCTACCTGCGCCTTAAGTGACCCACTGCATGTTAGGTCTCTGGGTTCTGCGGCGTGACCAAACACCCCAGGACTTCCACAGTCCCACATCAAGTCATACTAAGACCAGTTTGAAAAGAACCAGACCTTTATATTCTAGTGTGACTCATCCGTTTCAAATCTGAAACTTGAAAGAAAAAGATCTTTGATGACATTAAGCACTTTTCTGTTGTCTGGTGCTATATCACAAGTGTACATATCTCTGTTGAAACACAGTGAGTAATTGAGAATCTTCACTGATATATTATTCACAAATTATATATCCTATATGTTTATATATCATACATAAGTTATATGTGATATATATATATATAAGACCTGTAAGATAAATATCACATATATGTAATATATATATTAAATGTAAGATATATGTAATAATTATTCAAAAATGAATGAATGAATTAATAAATCCAGCAGTAGCGACAAATTCAGACTAAATGTTTTTACAAATATTTTAGAGCAGGTTTAGTACCTTAAAGCATATAAAAAATGAGGAAAATATCATTGCTAATGGTTCCTCGAGAGGAAGTTCTAGTGTGTTTGAAAGAATAGCTTATGCTACACTATGGCTAATGATGGACTTCATCATTGCCCAATGGAGGAATGTATAATAACAAGCAAGACTAAAAACCTAGAATTGTTTCAGACCAGAATGTAGGCATTGGTTCTGAGATTAACTAAATTTCTAAGACTCTTGAGAAATAAAAATGAAAAATTGGAGAAAAATAAAATGAAGACAAAAGTAACAACTGCTAAATAGAGGTCACTGTGAGACAGAAACAACCACAGAGCTAGAGAGCACTTAATGGAAACTGTCTATCAGACATGGTAGCTGACTTGAGGAATACCTGACTCTAGAGGGTGGGTCAGGAAGATTTCATTGAGTTCATGGATAGCCTAAGTTTGAATTTGAATTTTCTTAATCTATAAAAATACAGGGACATTCCAGCAAATGCAGGGACATTCCAAATAGACATGCTAAAAAATGAAACTATATACAACAAAAAAAATGTGTCAACCAGTGTCAGAAGTAAATGACACATAAAGAATGCTGATCTGAAAGGCTGCATGAACATATGAGAATTTACTTGTGAAGGAAAACTTATCATCAAAACAATACAGTTCTGTATTAACATCTTTGATCTGGAAAATCAGGGAAAGAAAACATTCTACAACAGGAAAGAATCTAACTGCAAAAATCAAGTGTTATACTCATCCTGATAGAAACCTGATAAACCTTGGGTCTATTCTACCTATCAGGCTATATATCCAACCTGGATCTTATCTGTATCAACTCAAATTTCTTTCATAAGAAACTCTCCTGCTCTGAAAGATTGTTCCTTTCAGTTCCCCAAAGTATGTATTTCATGATTCACCTGGGGACTCCTCCAAAATGGAGAGCAAAACCTTATACCAAAGAAATAACCAAGAGCTAGGGTTCAGATGCTTGGAACATATCACCAAATTAAAAAATATATATGAAAATAAAAACAAAATGTCTTTCCTAAAGATCAGGAATTCTAGAGTATATATCTCCAGTTAGAATAATTTAAATCAAGCTCAAGACACAGGGTTCAAAAAAACAAATACAAGCATGTTCGGGAGTCCATGGAATTCAAAGAGGATTTGAATAACCGCCTGAATGAACATAAAGAAGACAGGAACAAAATCCAGAATAAAGGAAAAATAATGCAATTTTCCAGCTACCCATACAACAAAAGATATTTGTCTAGAAAACATAAATATCTCAAAAAAGTAAAGAATCAAGAAAAGAAAAAACCCAATCAAAGGAAGAAATAGAGATTTGGACAGACACATACCCAAAGAATTATAAGTATCTGCTAACATCTTGAAAAGTGTTTGTCAGTGGCCATCAAGAAATAATAAATTGCCATGAGCATCTATCTTGTCTCAATTAGAATGGATATTACCAAGAATCTAAAGAACAAGACATAATGATAAGGATATGGGGAAAGAAGAACACTAATTCACTCTTGTTGGTTTGAATGCAACCTGGTAGTACCACTATAGAAATGCATATGCTGATTCCTCCGAAAATGAGATAGATCTGTTATAGTACCTGTACTGGCTTGTTTTTTGTGAACTTGACATAAGCTAGAATGAATAATGTGGAAATAGCCTCAGTTGAGAAGACACCTAAATAAGATCTAACTGTACATTAGTCTGTAATTAGCAACTGTTGCTAAGCAACTGTTGCTTAGCAACTGATGGGGAGAACATAGCCTACTATGTGTGGTACTGACTGTGGTTGGCTGGTTCTAGTTTCTATAATTAAGCAGGTTGGGAAAGCTATAATAAACAAATCAATAAGCAGACTCTTCTGTGGACTCTCATCAGTTCCTGCCTTCAGGTTTCAGCACTGCTTGAATTTCTGTCTTAACTTCCTTTGCTGATGGATGAACTGATATAAAAGAATAAGGCAAAAAGAAAAATCCCTTTCCTCCCCTAAATAGCTTTTATAATGGCATTTCAACACAGCATAACCTTAACTAAGATAATACCTGATTATATTATGCCTTGGCATATATCCTAAAGATTTTGTATCCTAGAAAAAACAGTCTTACATTACACATTAATTCTTGTTGTAATCACTATAACTAGGATAGAGAATAAGTCTAGATATATCAATCAACTGATTGCTCTGAAATGAAATTATATATATATATATATATATATATATATATATATTTGGACATTTTTCTGATAAAAATAAATTATTGTGAAATTTCATGTAAATTGCTATCACTGAAAAAAATCATATTCAGAGGAAAACCCCAGAAACATAACATATTCTTCATCTGTGAATCCTAGCTTCAAATCTCTAGTTTTTTTGTCATCTAGAATTATTTGTGGAAGCCAGGACACTAGAACATGTGTTAAGACAGGAATTCAAGCAGGGGTGAACCTGAAGGCAGAAGCCTGATGGTAGTCCACAGAAGAGTCTGCTTATTGAGAGGTTATTCCTAAAGACTGGTGATAGAATGAAATGAAGAAAAATGAATGTACAAACAGGGATATTGGGGTAAAAAGACTCACATCAGAGAGGAGAGAAGAAATAGGTAAATAAGGCAAGATTAAGATGGTTAATCAAAACGAAAGGAATACAGAAATTTACTACCTTACAACTAAACTTGAAGACATAATTTATTTTTTAAAAATGGGTATTCAGGGAGCTACTTTTTATGCCTGGCAAATACTGCTTTGATGACCAATGGGTTGTTAAACAATATATCTTTCCAGACATATATATGTGTGTATATCTATATGCACATATATGCATATATATTTATGTATATGTACATATATAACTTATATGTAGGTGATACATACTTGTGCATATGTGTCTGTGTGTGTGTAGGTGTATTATGGAGTGTTCAGAGAGCCTCCAAAATAATTACAGACTTTTGTTATTCCTTTTCTTTCCAAATAATAATTATGCATTCAGACTCTATTACTGAAGACACTGAACACTGTGAATGTACAAATTACATAAAACAAGCTAGTACTGGGGGTGAAGTACTCCCTGTTGGGTACTTTTCACAGTCACAGAAGTTTCTGTGAAGACTTCTATGGGACTAACTATATGTATGGTCTTAAGCAGCTAAGAGTTCAGCAGTCTACGAGTCCAACCAGCTGAGAAGATGTACATAGCTGTGCAATAGTGGAAGCAGAGTTAAGGAGGTAAGTAACTGCTTTATAGCTGGATTCAAAGCAAATTCCACAGAGAAAACATTTGCCTTGTCCTGAAAATAGAAGAAAACAGACAAGAATTTGAATATCTCAGGAAATATAGTGAAACTGAGGCCAGTTGCTAAACTAAATTGATATAGCATTGAGCTGCTCTCTGCATATAATACTTATATTCCCGTATGGACACTACACTCAGCATTTATCAGAGAAGCTTCTGTTTTCAAGAAAATACTTGTAAGAGATTCATGGCAGTGTAAGATACTGAGGGGATTTGAGTGTTTGGCCCTAAGAAAGTCATTTATATCATCTTCTATGAGGATCAGATAACATTGCAGAAGAAAGATCAGAAAGAATGTAAGATAAGGAAGCATAAGAAGAGCTTCAAAAATGTTATATCCTTGCCAAGACATGCTCATTCCAGTCACCAACTCAGAGCTCTTGGGAATACCTATAAAGGTTATGCACAAATATGTTCCCATCAATAGCCAGATACTGATGGAGGGTGGATTCTGAGAGGGCTACCTCTGGAAGCTAAATAATTTACTAACAACAGATTCAAGGAGAGGATAAACAATTTCTTTCAATCAAGTTCCCACTAGTAATCAAATCAAGTGCCAATAGATAGTTCAACTCACTCAGCTGGCATACAGAATAGATTTTATAAAAACAAAACTAAGTATCATGATCTCCGAAAAGGAACTGGTAGAGGGAGAGGTTGACAGAGATGAGAGGGATATTTGACATATCTGTGCAGAGTAATAAGAGTATACTGTTTGCTTAAATCAAATGTTCAAAAAACAAAATTGGTCAATATTCAATTTATGGGTCATAGTACAGGTACATTGCTATCATAGCAACAGCCAACTGTGGTTTCAGATAGATCACCACACTACATGTTCTTTATTTGGGTTATAAATAGGTTAAACACCTCATGTAACTTTCCCCAAATATGAACACCATTGATAAGTTATACTTAACAGTGTTTCTCATAGTCACTCAATTTTGGACAAGCTGTTGCATTTTGAGACTGAAATGCACAAAGGAATGGAAACGTTCCCTTGCCAGAAACACAGGTAATTGAGGTACTGATATAATAGATTTTATAGACAGTGCCTATACACATATACTTGCTAAGTCAAGGAAAGGGGCAGTATTCAGAATAGTAGCAGTTTATGCAGTGTGCATGAGGGCAGAATTTGGGAAAGCACAACAAGCGGACATTGGCTTGGTTCAGTCTTTCCTCAATACAGTCTATAAAAGAGAAATGCTGCTATGAAGATTTTGTGGGTCCTTTTGCTGAAACAAATGACACTTTTTGGATTTTTCCACATCAAAATATAGATATATGGTCACAGAATATAAAATATAGATGATAGTTTGGGAAGAGGGCCTCAAAAGTCATCTTACCTTTGCTCTATCCTTCTTATGGGTGATGTTAAGCTTGTCTGTGGCAAAGAGAAGTGTCCTCTGAGTCAGTTGTCAATATGAATAAGTCCTAGCACTCAGACTGCTGAGAAACTGGTGCTTGAGGAAGACTACTCAAAAGAGGAAGAAAGGTCTGTGGTTTCCTGTACTGGGATCTGCACTGAGTGCCACGTCTTTGAGTCATGCTCTTCAGGAGACTGTTGCGAACATTTGGTCTTGCTCCTATCTCTTGTCCTTTGGTCATAAGAACCCTATGACTCCTTTTCCCTCTTAGTGCTTGGATGTTTTTAACTTCTTGCATCTAGAAAGGGAACAGTGCCAAACAATATGAGCCAGTGCTGTAGCTTTTTCAGACAAAACATGTTTGCAAAGCTAGACAATGATGGAACAATAAATATAAGGTTAATTAAATCTGAGGAATTTGTAGAATAGCAACTTGAAATGCATCAGGCAGTAGGCTCAGTTTTGAAACTAGAAGCATTCCTTGTGTTAGAAACCCAGCCAGGGGAAGGATTTGGGGAATGTGTAGTCTGCAGGCTCCTGGAACATCCTCTTTACTGCTTAGATGACCAAGAATGAGGCCAACTCAGCACTCAGCAACAGGGCCTTCAGAAGAACTCAAGATGTGGTTTGCAGGAAAGCTGGATAAACCTGCTTCTGCAAAGGTAGTAATAAAGGAAACCAAAAAGGCAGCAGAAATGAATAAAACTTTAATAAAAATGAATAAACCAACTAGAATGGGAAGGGAGGAAAAAGGAAACAGATCAAACCCAAGAAATTTATGTAGTTACAGTGAGTGGTGAATAGTAATTGAGAGTGACTGGCCTTGGAGAAAACAGGAGAGAAAGGAGCCATGTTTGCTTGATATCAGAGCTGTGTCTCCTTGGAAATTCTTGCTTCACTATTTTACGGTGCTAAATACGTTCATAAACTATTTTTACAAAGGCAAATGTAGTAACTACAGGACATTTCAAATTTAAAAAAATATTATTTTCATGTATGTTGGTAAAATGGATGCCCTTGTAAATATTCACACATATTTATGCACATGCTGGTGAATTCCAGAGCTCAATGTCTGGGTTATTTCTCTAACACTCTTCACCTTATAACTTGAATCAGGAGTCTCCACTTGAAACCATAACTTACCTGTTGAGCTATTCTCTTTAACTCTCTTTCCCCATGGGCTCCCATGAGCTGAGAAAATAGGCAGACTACCAATCTGCATCAATACGGGTTATGGGAGTTTAAACTCAGACTCTCACAACTGCACAGCCAGTGTTTTCCTCTCTGAACCATCTCCTAAATCTAGTTAGGAAGATTTTTATGAAGGAGGATGTCTCACTCCACCATATTCTAAACATACATGACTTTTTAAGAGATTGGATTATTTACTGGGTTGGCAAATTTATTTGTGTTGGGTTGTTCGTTTGGTTGCTTAGTTTTTTGGCTGCTTGACTGGCTAGTGGTTAACTTGTAGCATTCAAGTTTTGGGGATAGTGCAAGCAGTGTATTTGTGGCAAGTTCCAAAGCTGCACTCCCTTCTGCAGCATGTGTAATAGCAGAAATACTTAGTTTTGATTTTCTGGCCTTCTTGTTAAGTCCTGGTTGACCAAAGGAAGATTACTTGTGTTGTTTGCTGTGAGTCCTTGAGCTGAAAGGCTCCTCTGTTTATTTTCCAGTGGCAAGAGTTTAGCTCGTACAATCCTTTGACCAATATTGTTCCTTACTACAGCAACCACCATACTCTGGAAGCCTCTGTGGTCCTAGCAACCAGAACTTGCTTGTTCTCTTCTACAAGTACTATATGCTCCGGTGTAAACATATCTGCTATATTCAACTCTGAGTCTTTCAGACTTAACAATTTCTTTGTAAATGGGCAAATTCACAGCATTGAAGCACTAGGCATTTTTATTCGTGAGACTTTAAGCTACTATTTTCCATAAGATAATGGCATGAGAACCAATATCAGTTGTTCATCTTATCTATTCATCTACTGGGGCTTCTCATGTTTTCAATTGTCTATTGCTTTCTTACATTCAGTATTTGCGTTTTCAAATGTCAAGAGTTCTATTAATGTCTGTTTGGCTTTAGGGTCTGATATGGCTCTATTTACAGCAAAATTCAATGTCTATAAGAAGTCAGCAAATGCTTACCCCATATTACCTTAGTGCATGATTTGGATTTTTCCCCAGCTCAGCATTCACATTCCAAGCACTTAAATCCACAGTAGGACATTGTTCAATTACAATATCATCAGGCTGAATTTGTTTTTGTAGGTCAGCATAACATCTTTCACCAAGCAGTTGGTCTTTAGTAACATCCATCTCCTTTCTATATTATGTTGTTCTATTTTGTGGCTTCTAGCACAGCTGACACCAATCCCTTTCTATACTGGGAAATAACTCTTCTATGCTGTGTAGCCCAGTTATTTAAGATTTCTATAACGAGTGGAGAATGCAAGCTATACAATATAACAATCCCTTCTAAATGAATTAGCTCTAGCATTTCTATTGGATGCCATGTCATTATAAGCATGCCAACGCATTATAAGCATGACTGTCATTAGCAGGCATATGCTGCACAAATACTTGGAAAGCTGAAGATGCCTGAGTAGCCCCAAGAAAATCCTCTAGTGGTGCACTTGGCTGAAGACTAACATATTGTTTCTGCTCTGCCTCCTGCTCTTCCTGGTCCTTTGTCTCACTCAGTTTCCCAGAGAACCTGGCAGTGAAAGTGCATGGGGCAGTGCATGGGGCAGGGCATGGGGCAGGGCAGAGCAGGGCAGGGCAGGGCAGGACAGCAGTTTGCTTTCTAGCATAGGTTGCTTCCCTCTTTCATCATAAGGTAAATTTCTCCTCTCAGACATCAAGCCTGAACCCTGTTTTTCTTCTCCCACTGGCTCTTTTTGCTTTCCAAGCACTTCAGACTCTATTGATAAACTCTTTACGTGTTTAGCCAACTCTTTAATCTTTTAATCTTTTTAACACAAGAGAATTGAGTGAACCTTCTGAATTTTCAGCTTCCCTCAACCCCAACATTTTTCAATCAGTAAACATTTAGACTATGACACAAAATCAGAAAACCCACTTTCAGAAACAAGGCTTAAGACCACAGAGCAGCAACAACTGCTATTTTGATTTTGCCAAGCTCCTAAAACAACATTTCTAACTCATCAAGACTTGCCTTTTCCTTTACAACATTAGAAGTAGAGCTGCCCATTATGCATAAGCTACATTGAGTGCCACCTGGAGGCTTAGATTTTTCAAAACCTACTTTAATTAGGATTCTTTTTTTGAAATAATTTTTTATTCGATATTTTGTTTACTTACAATTCAGATGTTATTCCCTTTCCCCACCCCTCCACAATTAATCCCCTATCCCATCCCTCCTCCTCCTTTTTTGCTTTTATACTGTTTAAATCACATGTAAGTATTAAGGTCAGTTCTAGATTGAGGAACTAGCAATACAATAGATGCAAATAGTCAAGAACAAGTAAGACAATAAACCCAGATAGTGAAAGAACATGCAGGACAATAAACAGAGTCACATGATTACTCCTGTGATCACTATTTCTAAGAGCTTATCAGAATGACCAAAATATCTGAACCTACTAGGACTTCCCTCTTCTGGCCGGAAGTCATTTTAATGCCTGAAGCCTACTTCTTTTCTCTAGCTTAAGTTTTAGACTCCTGCCTGTAATTACTTCTTTGTGCTAGACTAATGTTAGAATCCTGCCTACAGTCCATTTCCTTGTCCTTGGACTATGTCAGATTCCTTACAGGCAGCCCATTTCCTTGTCTTTGGCCAATGTTAGATTCCTGCCGGGCAGCTCCTAAAGCTCTCCACATCTCCCCCTTTTTTATTGCATAAACCAGACTGAGCTTGTCTTAGGTTGTTCTGACAAGAATTCCTTCCTTACCCATAATGGAATATGCCTTATCTAAAGCGTTGTACTATTGTCTTAGGTTGGTAATGCTCTGTGCAGAATATTACATGTCCTTGGCTTGCCAGCCTGTTAAACTAACAGTTCTGTCTGGAGGTCCATTTTTAGTTTCAAGTCATGTACTTTGGCTGTCATCCTGTTAATGTAGAGACAAGCTTTAACATGATGGGTAGGAATAAAAGAATTCCCAGGACAAAATTGGCTAGCCTGATCAAGCTATATATGCCATTCCTGAGGTTTGACCAAAGTGGAAATAGTGACTCCAAGCCATGGATAATTTTATTGGCATTATCTGCAGCATCAAAGCTCAGTAGAGCAGTGTTTTTTAAATTCATAATCTCACTATTCAAAGTTAAAACATCCAGAGAGGTGTTAGAATTATGCCAAATACCCTACAGGTGTCTTTAAACTTTTTCCTAATTATAATGACTATCATTGTAAATTTCAGAAGTAACACCATTCCAATGGTATTTGTCATGACACTTGAGATGGCTCCCAATTGTTAAACCCTGAACCTATTTCTGATAATTTGAAAAGGGTATAGAGTAATTCCAAACACCTATATAAATCCTCTTGTATAGTCAACACATTAGTAACAGTTTTTTGCTAGATAATTAACAAAAGTAGCTGTCTTAACTTCTTCTGTCAAAACTATTGCAGAAGCAGTGGTGCTATTAATTAATGTAATTAAACCAGACATTCAGACTTGTGCTTCTTCTTTATGTTTCTTCTCCTATCATTTTTTTGCCCTCTTTGCTAGGGTCTTGTCAAATCTCCGCAGGCCATCGCATAAACCAATTTTAGCTTGACAATTATAAGAGCCTTAACACATGTACTAACACTTGTTTGAAATCCAGATCCTGTCTCAACATTATCTCTTGCTATCATAGCATCATAGAGAACTGCAGATAAATTCCAAATATGTCTCTGAAAATGTCACGATCCCACCTTTCAAATGAACACTATTATTCCAATAGTGGATGGATTTCTAGACCAGTACATGGTTTAGACCAAATAACTGGTCACCTTTAAGAAAAATACAAGAGACATTATAATTTCTCTTTTTGATTCTCTGTCCCACAAGGTCTAAAAACTTGCGGCAAAGCAGCTTGTCACATCTGGAATAT